GGCGGCGACGTGCTCTACGTGGCCGTGGGCAGCGTGCTGGGCGTCATGGTGCTCATCGTGCTCGCCTTCGGCGCCATGCGCCTGTGCCGGAGCCGCGCGCCGGGCGCCGCGCACAGTGAGTCGGACCCCGCTTAACACCCCCCGTTAATACCCTCCCCTGTTAATACCCCCGTTAATACCCCCCGTTAACGCGACGCAGAGTGCGAGCCCGCCGGCTACGTGTGCGCCGGGCAGCTCGTGGAGCTCGCGGCGCCGGCCGCGGCGCTCGGCCTCCGCGCCTGCCCGCAGGCCTCTTCCCGGCGCCCGGCGCCGCCCGGCGCTGCCTGGACTACGAGCAGCCGCCGCAGAACGTAAGAGCCCCGCGGGGGTATCCGAGGTGGCGCCGGGCCCCCTTTTCCCAAAGCGCCCGTGGGAGCACGCCGCGAATCCCGGYGCTTCCCGTGCCGCAGGGCTCGTTGGCGGCGCTGCCCCCGGCCGAGCGCGGCGCGTGCCGCAACTGCCGCAACAACAACAGGTAGCGCCGCGCGCCGGGCCCCTCCCCGCCATTCCCGCCGGGATTCGGGAGGCCGCACGAGGCTGCTCTATATCCGCAGGTGCTCGGGAAAGCCGCCGGAGCCGCTCAGCCCCGTGGTGGTGGCCATGTGCCTGGCGGCGCCCGAGGAGCGGCCGCCGTGCTGCCGCCTCGCCGCTGCCGAGGRCTCGCTCCATGGCCCCGCGGAAAGCCGGGAGCACAGCCCGCTGCCCGGAATGCAGCCCCGGAGAGCGTCCCYGGAGCCGCCCGGCGCCCTCCGGGAATCCTGAGGGATCGCCGAGCYGGGGCTCGGGGGGAGTCGCTATTTATTTGCCGCTGGTGCTGTCGCATGAATGGACCTTGGGGTGGAAAAGACAGGGTTTTATTATTTATGCCGTGGCGTTCCTGCTTGGCGCCGCTCCGTGCAGCACCAAACTAGCCGGATAAGGCTTTTTTATTAAAAAAAAAAAAAAGAAGAAGAAGGAAAAATGGGAGGAATGACGTCAAGAACGCTGGAAACCTTCCCTGATGCAGGATGCACTAGCGGTAGAAGATCCCGGCTCTCCAGGCGGGACGAGCTCTTCCCAAGGCGCCCGCGTGCTGTAGCTGTCTCCAGCTTAATTTATACCCCCCTGGAATTTTAATGGCGCTTTAAGTGGTTTGCCGGGATGATATTTATTGATATTTATCCGTGCTTTAGGAGTCCCATGTTGCCACAGGCGCTTAGCACGGCACGGTGGCCGGAGGAGGCTCCGTGTCCCGGGGCTCCCCGGCATCCTGGGATGGCTCTGTATCCTGTGGCTTCCCAGCGTCCTGGGACTTTTCCAGGGCCCTGGGCTGCTCCGTGTCCCGGTGCTCCTCGGCTCCTCGGGATTGTTCCGTGTCCTGGGGTTGCTCTGTGTCCCGGGGCTCCCCAACATCCCGGGGCGGCTCCGTGTCCCGGGGCTGCTCCGTGTCCCGGGGCTCCCCAGCTCCCTGGGAGCCGGTGCGGAAGAGGAGCCGGTGCAGCCCTGCGCACGGACACGCGGCGCTGGGGGACGCACCCGGGGTGCCCCCCACGCGCACGGGGTGCCCCCCACGGCCCCGGGGTGCCCCCGGGC